GCCTTTGGTGTGAAACTGATTAGGGTCTTGTCAATTTCAGGCAGCCTCTGCAAATTAAGATGATAGAGCTAAGCTTGTTAATTTGCCATTAGCACTTTTTAAGGAAGTGCTGTGCTGTAGAGAAAAGCAGCTCAGGAAGAGATAGCTTGTTTAGGCAATCTCTCTGCTCTGCAGGGGGTGGGGGGACAGGTCAGGCACAGAACAACACGTATTAACTGACTGTAATGGCAAACACATGACAGACGCTGCAAAGGTCATAAATGTGTGCTTGGTCTCAGTTACTTTTTCATTACTGTCATAACGGTGAACAGTTGCTAAATGAGGACTACCTGTATAACTTTGGAATGGGCTGCCATTTACACAGTAGGATTTGCTCATGTTTGTCTTTTTCCATTACTCCTCTTGAGGATATCCTCACTCTCCTGAATTGGACTTGGAGAATTTTAGCAGAAGCAGACCTTGTTCCACCAGTGGTATCTGTTCTGTTGGACAGACCTGGTTAATATTTCTTCATTTCTTTAACTGTCACTCTTTCCATTACATTTTGCATCATCATCCTGGTCACCTGAAAAATATTAAGCATTCCTCCCAGCGATCAAAAAGCTGCTCATCTTTGGCTTAGCACAACATATGAATCCACCTTGTGTGGCAGATGCTTTTCCTGAATTGGTAAACTGAGTAACTAAATTAAATGGTTCTTGTATTTCTCCCTCAAACTGAGTCAAGATAAGAACTGGGAAGAAGATACTTAGAATCATTATAGCTTAAAAAAAAACTAACCATGATAATTCTGTTTACTGAACTTGTATGAGAAAACTTTGCCTAGGATTCTTCCAGTGCTAAATCATAAATGATCTTTACAGGAATACTTAGCTATATCCTGTATGTGGCATTTCCTACCCCAAAGTTGAGGCTATTTCTCTGTCATACTATGTTGATTAACTCATTGATTTTTATTTGAGGTCTTTTGCTTTTTGTTGCTGAACTTAATCATGCACTTATATGCTAGTGATGAATTCCTTTTATAATATCAGTTTTACGTCTGACTTTGAATAGCTCAAGTATGAAAGGAAAAAATGGGGTCCACCCTTTTGTATATTTGTTTAAATACATATTCTACATTTTCTTTATGAACTCAAAGTAGTGTGCATAATGCTCCCTCTTTCATTTTATTCATATAGCGATCTTATGAGGAAGTTTGGGCAGAGTGGTGACTGGCCTAAAATCACTGGGTTTTCAGACCTGAGGATGAATTCAAGCCTAGATCTTCTCAGTCCTAATCCAACACTTACTTATTACACCATGCTGCTTTATAAATAGATGTATCTCTTTGTATAAAGAAGATATAAGATATAAAGAAACCTAGATTGGCTACATGGTGTTTTCCAGGTTGGACAATCTTTGTTATTTCCATCAGCCCAGCTACCATGAGCAGTGATCAGGGATTGGGGGGGGTTGTTGTCCAAAGTGTCTGGAGGGTACCATGTTGCTTAGCCATTAGGTGGCAAAATAACAATCTGTTTACCAAGTTGCATTGTAATCCTCCTTCAGATACTATGATTGATGGCCCTCCAGTCCCAAAAAGACATTCTGAGCTTTCAGGAAGAATGTCTGCTCCAGGTAAGAATGGAAAGAGGCTCCGCCTACATTTTGAAAGCATACCATCTTTTTTCAAGCAGTGTTAAATGGGTAATTTTCTTCTCCTTCCAGATCTTGGCCCTACTGTAGCAGCAATGATCAACTGTGGGCCAAGAACATCTTCTCCTTCATCTGCAGTTCTTGATGGAATGGTAAGTAAGGGAGGGGGTGCTATTTCTTTGGGTGAAATGACACACTGGGCAGAATCTTTGTTTTGTTACCTCATATATGCCACATCACCCCTTACTTATGTATCAACTTCTGTTTTGTCTGTCATCCCATCTTTATGTTGCTGGGGGGGTGGGAAGCAAAACCCTACCAAAGAGCTTGAAGTCCCCCATGTTTCTGTTGTCCCACCTTCCACTGGTGAAGCAACTGCAGTGAGTACCAAGAGGCTGGGAATGGTGCTCTTCTCCCTGATTTGATGGGGAGGATGTAAGATGCGTGGTGCTTCGTGTCTCAGCATGAGGGATGTGGTACAACTTGCTCTGGGTTACAATTCTTTCTCTTGAGCTCTGCAATTCGTTAAGGCTATATGCATTGTTGGGGCAGCTAATTAGACATAACAGGATTTGGAAAAACCATTATTTCAGTTGCTTTAAGGACAATGTAATCCAGTTGCTTCATAGATGGTGGCACCTGACATTGAGGCTTTTCTAACCCTCTGGGTACTTCTGATCATTTTCTTTTGTAGATGGTGTGTTGTTTGGATTTGCTGGTATTATAAAGGAATCCACTTATAAGATTATCTAATTTAGGTTTGGATTGCCGTTTAGAGAGTGCTTTTTAGGATAATGCCTCTTTGGTGCCTGAAGTCAAGAATATTCTTGAAAAAGAACATTTCCATAAAACACAGTGAGCTAAGTTTGGAAATTCCAGATCTTTTCAGCAGCAATATTTCTTAAAGTGCTTTTAGCCAGTAGTTCTGTAATTTCATGGATAATGCCTAGTAGATGACTAACACTGCAGTCTTCTACAGGTTAACATAGGTTCTAAAGGCCCACCATCTTTCCCGGGGGGCTCCATAATGACATCCCCAGCAGTTGGGCCTTTGCCACCTCCTATTCGATTTGGACCACCACCCCGTGTGCCCTATGGACCTCGGCCTCTTCCTCTCTCTTTAGGTATGAACTCTGTTGTGTGTTGTGCTATTTTTTTAGCTTTAATGCTGTTACGTATTCCAAATATTTTTTGGCACTCAGGGAGTCTGTTAAAAATGCAGTTTAAAGGGCATTCAGTTCTTGGTATTCAGAAAAATGTTGTTTCGTATAGAATATGATGTTTTATATACAGGACATGTAAGGATTGGGTAGTATCAGTAATACCAATTTGAGTGTTACAGGCTTCTTTGATGGCATGTTCAGCCTTAACATAATTGTATTAAATATGATTGCTTTTTAGCAAAAGGAAAATTCATGGAAAATGCTTAGAAGTGACAAGAGGCCATGAAGAGCATAGATTCTTCATCCTTTCAACTCAGAAATCTTTTGCAGCCTGTTCTGAACATTTATGTGCAGGCATAAAGATTAGAAACATGCTTTCTTAAAATGAAAGTGATGGCAAATGGCAACTTGATTTTAAACCACCCAGCTTCATTTTTTTTTTCTTTCAGTCCGTGGAGCTCCTCCACCACCTATTCCTAGAGATTATCCACCTGGCCCTCCATTTGGAATGCGAGATTTTCCTCCTGGTCCACTGCCACCTCCTGAGCAGAGAGGATATATCTGTGGGCCGCCTCCTTTCCGGCCACCTCCCCCCAGAGATTATCCTCCAGGTCCTCGACTACCTCCACAAGGTTTAAGGGACTATCCTCCTCCTGTCAGAGACTTGCCACCTACAAGGCCCAGTGACTACCACGAAAGTCCTCCCTGTTCTCAGTCTCCATCTAGCTCACAAGACTCTGCACACCTTCCTGAACAGAAACCATGACTTCAGATTTCTGGACTGATCTCTATCACGTTTCATGTGGTGAGGATTTCAGTGGCTTCAACAGGACTGTTTCTTCTAGATTTGGTTTCAGTATAGCTTTCTTTTTCCTTTTCTTTTTTGCTAAAATAATTTCTCTAGTAATGTGCATTTTGATCACCTTTAAATCAGGACTTGTTCATCCTCTTTGGATGCACATAGAATGTTTCTGTGATGAGCCTGAAGCCTGCTTTTACAGCTGTGGCCAACTCGCAGCTCTCAACGTGCAATATATAAGAAATACCTGTATGGTTAGTTTTTAATTAATGTAGCCTATGTAATGTTGTTAAATGATTTAAAATTATAATCTGAACATTTCCTGTGGAAATAGCTTCAGTAAGAAATGCTACCATTCATATATAGCCTACAGTCACTGTAGACAAATGGTTTACATAAAGAAAGATTCTAATGCATACCTTTTTAAAGCATCTGGTGTGAAAGTACCAGAAGAAAGCTACATGTATATTGGAAGGACACATCTACTAATAAAGCAAGATTCTTTTTTGCTATGTACAAAATTATTTTCTTTTACGGCTAAACAAGTTGTAAGTAGTTATAAAGATTAAGTATACCAGAGTAAACAATGTTCCAGTTCAGTGGAATGCAGTAAGAAAGAAGCAAGGATAAAAGTATGTTATTTTGAGAGCCCTCTGCTGCTTTAGGAAAGTCCAAATACACACAAAGTCTGATAACTTCAACTTATTTTACAGTGATGTGTAACAGCTGTTTTGTTGTTTTGTCCCAGCTAAAGGCTCAGAAGATCACAGGTGAAAATTATGTCACTATTTTTATATTTTATATTTTTATATTTTATTTTTAATCAGTGGGCAATTTATTTAAAATAATTTGTTGGATCAGAGGACACTGGAAACTGATTTCTAATGTAAGAATCTTCTTTCATTATATCTGTCTTTTAAAAAATCCCATCCTGTTCTATAACAGCAGCTGTACAGCAGATGCATTTTCTAGGAGTAGTGTTGAATC